TATGTTTGAGAGAGGGGGGGGTTTCAACCGGTTCGCGGAAGTCCCCGCAAACCGGTTGGTCGGCGAACCCGGAAGTAAGTAACTTCCGGGAACGGCGAAGGGCCCGCCTGCCCGCCCGCGCTCCTTACCCGGTTTTGACGAGTTCTGCGCTTTCACGCATGCGCAGGACGCATACAGCGCCTGCGCGATCCTCCACAGACGCTAGTACGCATGCGTGCACTGCGCACGTGCACGATGATGCCGCTGGCCCCGTTTCAACCGAACCGGTTGGAACGGGGCGAGAAACCCACCCCTGGTTTGAGAGCATCTATGACATAACTCCAGCACTTCAAATATATTCATAACCGAAAAAGATTGCCTCTCTCTCCTGAAAACAAAATGATGTAAAGTCTTGTTTTCCTAAAGGAGGATTTTTGCAGAATATTTATGTGAGTAATTTGGGATTATGATACATTGACTGGTTAAGACTTCTAACTAAAATATTGCTTTTTAAACCATGCTTTGTAGAATATTCCATAGTCATGTGGGTTTACAGAGTATGGTTCAAAAGCTACAACAACTACAAACAGGCATGATTATATTTTAAATTCTTTGGCAATGAGTTCATTGTCTCAGAAATTACGTTGTGGACATAATTTGAAATTATGTTATGTCTAGTTCTAGGCGGCTTGGCAAATCAACACTTCCTCACTAAAAAGTTTTCAAAATGTAGTTTGCAGAGGCTGTGTGTCAAACTTCACCCTCCGTATTCAGTATAGTGTAAAGGGAACTATGTTGAATTTTGTTGCTACTGCCTTTACTTCTAGAATCGTAGTAATGGTGTTGGGGACCATTTGCTACGGCTCACTAGTAATATATATACTGTCTCATAAACCCACTTAAGTGTACTTGGGGTTCAGCAATGTACATATGTGTGTGTGTGTGCATGCACATACAAGATGAGGGCTTAAAATAGGATTTAAGCTGTCTTTTTGTAGCAGTCTGTCCTATTTTATACTGGATGTATGCATACGTGGTGTGCAAAAGTAACACCAGACCCACTCAGCTCTTTGTAATGGTGAACAAAGAAGAACTAAATGCAAGCTGAAGTAATGAATAGGGGCAATGAGCTCTCCCTTAAAACTGTCTTCTCTGTTCTTTTGAGATATAAGTGTAGCAACTTGTATAAGTGAGCCAAGGTGGCGCAGTGGTTAAATGCAGCACTGCAGGCTACTGCTAGATCAGCAGGTCAGCGGTTCAAATCTCACCGGCTCAGGGTTG